GACCTAGCCTACACTACCGGACTCTAAAAATGCCACTTTTGTCTTCTTCTGCTCGGCCTCCGGTACCTGCATATTTACCCCCCTACCGGGTGCGGTACCGGCCTACCCGCTACTTGAGTGCTTTTCCCCCTGCTGCAACCCTTCAAAGCCACGGCCACAGGTAAGTACCGGCCCTGAGGGCCCAATGAACGAACAAGTGCCCTGGCGGGCCACACACACGCACACTCATACCAACCAGCACTCAGACAGGCATGGTCACACACACAAGCCAACCAGCACTCAGACAGGCATGGTCACACACGCAAGCCAACCAGCACTCAGACATGCATTCCAGCAAGCACACACACACAAACTTAGCAAGCGGGGAACTCAGTAGGGCATTCAGTCTATGGGCAAAACTCAGAAATCAGCTGTGTGTTTCAGTCCGTGTTTGAATGGGTTATCACACTACCCCCCCCTCAAGAGCGAGGTCCCTTCGAGCGAGTAACTCATTCTGAGTCCTCGGCAAACGCATCGTAGGCGAGCAAGGCAAATAGATTCCTAGAATACTCTGTTGCAGAGAGCCTTGCTGCGATTTTCGGTGCGGCGTTAGCGGCGATCTGTCGCTCGTAAGCTTTAACAACGCGCGGTGCGCTGCGTAGCAATTCCTGTTTGGAGATTCAGTACAGATCATCTAACGGGTGATACATGAAATGAACCTGGTACTGTCCGTTTCTCCCTTTACCTACATGCTGTTTGATTCTATCTATCTCATGCCCGCCCTTGATTGCGCGAGGGATCATATCTTCGCGGTAATCGAATGTCTTGGCGTCACGATGGAGATTCAATTTAGATGCATGAAATACGGGATACGTGCGCAGGTGAGCTGGCACGTCTACAACGTACGAAGGGCCAAAGTGATCTTCCCCAATTACATCCAAAACTTCTCAAGGCCCGTAGTAGAGTGGGAGGAGTTTGCGTGAGACTCCCTCCTCCTCTGAGAATTCAGACATCTTTACCCAGACATAACTTCCTACCTGAATCTCCGATGGTTTGCGCTTCTTGTTCGCATGGTGAATCATGGCATGCTGTCGCTTGGTCATGGCTGCAACAGCAACTTTGAGCAAGCGATCATACTTAGCCCTGAAGCCGGGCCTGCCGGGTGTTAAACCAGCTGACTGCTCAGGGAACAACTAGGAGAGCGAATTGCGGATCTGCCACCCGTAGTGCAGCCTGTTGGGCGTCGTGGCGGTGGCAGAGTGGACGGACTTGTTGTACAACCCTTGACAGAATACAGCTCCTCATCCCATGTTTCCTGATAAGGAATTATCAAAGCACGGAGTAGTTGGAATACAGTCTGGTTGATCTCCTCAGCCAAACCGTTGGCCTCGGGGTGTCGGCCAGATGTTATGCACAGTTTGATTCCTAGGTGGGACGTGAACTCGTTCCATTCAGCGCTAATGAAACGCGGGTCCCGATCGCTCACAAGAGTCTTCGGGGTTCCGAAAGGTATTTCTGCTGGAATTCGCGAATCACTAGATCTGTTGGGGCGTGAGGCGGTAGAGGGATCAGATTAAGAAACTTTGAAAATCGGTCAACAATCACCATGACTTGTGAAAACCCATTCTTGCTTACCTTACCCATGTCAGTGAAATCGATGGAGACAGACTCCCCGGGACCATCAGGAATGGGTAGGGGTGTGAGTAGCCCCATGGGCTTTTGTCTACATGGTTTGATTTGTTGACAGACTTGACATTCAGCTATAAATTTCTCAGCAGTCCCTTTCATGCCAGGCCAATCAAACTGTCTCAGCAGGTTCGCGTACGTTTTTGCCATGCCGAAGTGCCCGCTCCGGCCATGAGCCAAGTCCAGAAAGTGCGTGCGGAGAGGCTCGTGGTTGGGCACACATAAACGGTCATGGTTCCCGTATCGACGAAAAATCAGTCCTCCATACTCGTGGAAATCAGGCTGACTACTAGGATCAGCCCACAGCTGCTCAAGGATGGAACTGAGTTGCTGCCTTCCTGTCCCAGGGTCCACATCAGGCAGCTATGCCGCTGCCCACTCAGCTGCCATGCCTGACTCCGTCCCGAGCTTCCTTGATGCGGCATTACCCCAACTGGGGCCTTCCAGATGCAGCGCCTAACAAGGTGATGAAGATGGTGTCCACCATAGCCAGGTAGGTACCTCGCCACTCTCCTCCTTGGTTCTCTTCTCCCTCCTCCTCCTACCGGTAGAGCCCCACCATAGACAAGGTGGAAGCTCCCGGGCTTCTTCCTCCCAGCAGCGCTGTAGTAGCCAG